CGCTTACCTCTTCCCCGCCCCCACACCCCAGGCCTCACGCTCAGGGGATGCAGCCTCAAATTTTAGTACCAGTTTGCACCAAACAGAAACCAAACCGGAACATTTGCGAGGATTGTTGTGGAGCTTGAATCTGGACTGCGCTTCTCTGCCCAGCGCGGCAGGAAGGCCCTAACTGAGCGCCTGCTGAGCCCCCGCTGAGCCCCCGCTGGAGGCCTCAGTGAGCGCTCCCCTGGGGGGCAGCTACTTCTGGTGCAGGTGTTTGCTCTGCACCCCGTGAGTGCAGGCCCTGACCCACTGCTCACGCGGGGCATGTGGGGCCTCTAAGCCAGCGTCCTGAGGCCCGGCCATGGCCCCGGGATGGGAGGTGGAGAAGAGGTGGGAGATGAGCAGAGGTGGAGGGATGGTGGAGGTAGGAGAGGCGGCATTTGGACTGAAGATGAGGGACAGGGATGAGAGACAAAAGGCAGGGAGATGCTATTTGAAATGTGAAGGTGTCCCTAACAAGTTCGGTTCTTCTGCCAGAAAATTCTTTCCCAATAAATGCAAAGACCCTGTCAGGAATGGACTGGGCCCCTGAGCCAGGGCTGGCCCTGGGCGAGGCGGGCTGGAGAGGGTGGGGGGTGAGGGGTAGGGAGTGTGAGGGGCTCACCGGCAGGGTCCGGCTGCTGTGAAGGGTGTTGATAGCTGCCTGGGCCTCGGCATGGGTCTGGAACTTCACGAAGGCGCAGCCTAGACAATTCAGGGGCAAGGAGGGAGGGTGAGGCCCCTACAGAACCCATTGCCCAAGAAACCAGCGGGTCAGGGGCAGGGGGGCCAGAGGGCCGGGCGTGAGGAGGAGGTTGGCTGGGCTACCTTTGCTGGTGCCATCCGGCCCCCGCAGCACAGTGCACTCGTCTATGGTCCCAAAAGGCTCGAACATCTTCCGGACGTCCTCATCTGTCTGCTGCTTCCCTAGCATCCCCACAAAGAGCTTCCGGTCTTCTGGGGGACAGGGCACAGGGGGAGGGGCACGGTCAGGGCCTCTGGTTTTCCACTGCCCCAGCTCGGGACAGGCAGGGACCCACCCTTTCCCTTCAGCTCTTCCCTGGAGCTCCAGACACTCACCCCGGGGGCCGAGGGCTTTGGGTGTGGACGGGGTGATGGTTGTGGGGTGGGTACAGTCACCTAGAGGGCCCAACCCATTTCGGAAGGACTTGCATTCCACTTGGGGCCTCAGTTTTGCCATCTCTATGATGGGCTGGATCACCTCCCCTCTGGCCACACTGACTCCTGTGCCAACCTTGACGGGGAACCCTTCACAGCTCTGGCTTCCTTCCTCAAGAAAGGCTGTCCCACAGCTACTCCGAGCCCTGGCCTTGCGGATGGAGGGGAAGGGGCTGGGTCCAAAGGTACAGGACCTACCTCCTCGGCTCTCGCTGTCGGCTGGCTTCACCTGGATTGGTCTGTTCATCTAAAGGAGAGAAGAGAAGGCAAGTGCTGGGGGCCTCCTTGGACACCCAGCCCTCCCCCCACCCCACCCAGGCCAGGACCTGCTGAGAGGCCAGAGGGAGGAAACCAGGCCCGGGAGGGCTCCCCAGCCCTCTCACTTGCTGACGGGAAGGGAGGGATGGGCCTAATCTTATTCAGGATTAGGACCAGAGGGGATTAGAGGCCCGGGAAGGAGCGGATGTCGAGAAGGATGCTCATGGGCACAGCACCAGGCTCAGGTAAGGCCCCCGACGACTCGGCCAGGGATAGGTGCTGCTCTCCTCAGCGGAATAACGGGGCTGCCCACAGGCCCTGGTCCTGAGACAGAGCCCGGCCAACGGGCTGGCCCACAGGAGCTGTCGCACTTCCACACCGGAGCAATGGAGACCACCCATCAGAGCCCCAAAGAGGACGCTACACTGAGGGGGACCCCACAGATGCCCCAACTTCCTCCTGACCCCTAGAGGAGTGTCTGCCTCTCTTCCTGCCCCCCCTACACCTCTTGACCCCAGGGGGAAGGCATTCGGGCAGCACAAAGGGAGCAGATGCCCAGTCTCCGTGGCAACGGGAGAATGCGCGCCATGGCAACCGCCCACTCAGCCTGATTTATCCGTCCCCGTCGCCCTGGCGACCATGGTGACGTCATCACTTCTGCTGCTCCGCACACGGTAGAGGGCGTGGGGAGGGGGGTGGGAACAGGGTATGCTGAGGGTGGAGGATTGGTTGGGGCTGAGCGGTGGGGGAGGGGGCCAGGAGGAGGGAGGGAGGCTTGCCGAGCTGGCCCCGCGGGGTCCATGCCGCCCCTCCTCCCTCCCTCCTCCTGATCAAACCCCTGGTGTCTCACAGTCGGACAGCTCGGGATGGGGGTGCTGTCCCGCGCCCTCCAAGATGCTCCCTGTGCCCGGGGTCCACCGAGCTCTCCCCTCTCCCTCTCCGCAGTCGCTCCCTTTTGTTCAGCGGAAATGCACACACCCCCAGTTCCACTCCCGGGTTCTTGTTGGGGACAGGACTTGGGAATGACTCCTGCAGGTTGGTTTCCGGGGGGTGGGGGGGGCGGGGCGGGGAGCATCGTCGGGACCAGAGAGGGAGGGGCAGGGCTCAGTCTTCCCTGTCTGAGCAATTTTGCTAATAAGGACTTTGACCAATGGGGGCACACCTGGTCACCCCACTCATCTGATGGCAGGGCAGGCCTAGTTCCAGTGACCAAAAATATGTTAACAACAAAAAATCTGATTCATCTATGTTCTGAGGGTGGGGCTGAAGTGACCCTCAGGGCAGCACTGGGCTTGGAAGACTGGCCCTGCCACCCAACAGCTGGGTGACCTTGGACAAGTCCTTTCTCTCCTCTGGGCCTCAGTCTCCTCGTCCGCAGAACAGCCGGCTCAGGCGGTCGTGGGCCACCCCCTCAGTGTTGGTATTCCAGCCCGGAGAGCCTCACTTATCACAGAGCAGGGCCGAAACGACAGTCCCCCCACCCCACACGGGACGTCTTCCCGGGTATCCCAGTCCGTCTGGCTGGGCCCTGCTGGCCAGGGACTCCCGGCCCTGGATCAAATCTAAGCCCCACCTCGGCTGTTCCTGCCCGCCCCGCCCCCACCCCTGGATCTGAGAGCAGCTGGTTGGGGAGGAGGGTCCCACAAATCCTCGGGCCGATCTCCTCCAGCTTTATCCTCCACCAATCTGGGATTATCCATCTGCGGTCCCATCTCCTCAGGAGAGAGGGAGTGTGTGTGCATAGCCAGGGCTGAGGGACAGACGCTCAGGCTCCTGGTCTTGCACCCTCCTGGTCCTGTACTGTCTGTCACCCAAGCGATCAGGAAGCCCCTCACAGGCCCCTCCGCAGGCAGACCACACACACACACACACACAAACAGGAATCAGAGCCAGGGTGGCAGTGTCCGGGAATTCTCATGCTTGCACTGACCCCTTCCCAGCAGGCCCCTGGGGATTTGCTGCTCTCGTTGGGGATGGGGAACCTGGGGCCAGAGAGAGAGGATGCCCCTCCCTGCACAGGCACAGAAATAGCACATCAATACACATCCACGGCTGAGGTGGACCCGCACAAAGGCGCACACGGGTGTGCAGACCGCAGCACAGACCACACGTCAGAAGCTCCCACACTCCCTCCCAGCAGCCTCCCTGGCGGCCCCCAGTGCCCTGTCGCCAGCCTCCCCCTCTCCGCCTGGGCCGGCACTTCCTGTGGGAAAGTGAGCCTTTGTTAGCTCAGCTCAGGCACACCTGCCCCCTCCCCTGAGTCCAGCTGGGCTCTGTTTACCTAGCAACCCAGCCCTGGGTGCCTCTCTCCCCTGGCTACCACCGCCAGGTGATAAGGCCTCCTCGGCGCCTCCCGGAGAAGAAGGGGCTATTTATACTCCAACCGAGAGGACCGAGAACCCCTCACCAGCGCGGTCACTTGTCAGACCCCACTTCCTCCCTCTCCCGAGGGCGCAGGCCTGGCGCCCGCCACTCCTGGCCGCAGACTTGTGCCTGGCGTCCCAGACCACACGCAGGTCCTTCCATGGGACCTGAGGCCGCTGCCCAACAGAAGCTGACCGGGATTCATGTTTCCAGAGTGGGATTTTGGCCCAAGTAGAGGCGGAAAGGCAGGCCAGGGGGAGCCCCTCGCACCCACCTCCAGGAGGCCACACCCTGCTCCCAGGAGGAATCCAGGCACCGGTGGCAGAGCCACTCCTGGGGACTCTTGGGGGAGAGAAAGGGAATGGGGCTCAGCAGTCAGAGGCCCAGCCCCCAGTCTCTCTCTGGGCAGCTCGAAGCATCTCCTAATATGGTGGCAGCTCCCAGATTCTGGAGTGACAACGGTGGGGAGAAAGGAGAGAAGGCCATGAGCCCCTTAGAAAAGACCCTGCACTAGGAGGGCGTGCGGATTGGACAGCAGGAAGGACTTCCCAGCACAATTGTGCAAGAGCTGGCACACATTGCACACACACACACACACACACACACACACACACACACTCAATGCTGCCAGGATGGCCAGGGGCAGAGAAAAGACCTGGCAACACAAAGGGTCAGGACATCTGCTCCCTAGACCGCCTTGGTCTGCTCCCCCGAGCCTCCAGCATGGGGGCCCGTTGGAGGATAGAACCCCTCATTTCCTGCTGGAGGCTCTGCAGGTCCCTCTGCATCCTGCCCTCTGGGGCAAGGGCCAACGTGGAGAAGTCGTGTCTCCTGGGAGCTGGGGGATGGGGGTGGGGTGCAGGCTAGACAATCATTAACTGGGGTGCCCTTCTCCCTCCGCTCTCACCTGGGCCTGTTTCTTCCCCACACCCAGGATAGAGCCCTGCCTGAGCCATGCAGGCAGCTGGAGGGGTCAGTCTCCCCACCTCTCCCCTCTCCCTTGTCCCCCTGTTTCCGCAGGGGCTCTGAGAGATGGGGAGATGACAGGAAAAGAGACAAACAGCCGTGGAGTGAAAACTGTGGGTTTGTCAGGGGCTCCAGAGAGAGAAGGGGGAGGAAGGAAAGTTGCTGTGTAGCGAGATAGGAACCAGGCTTCCCGGGGCTGCGTGGGCCCATCCCACACGCCTGGCCTGTTGGCTGCCACACACGCGTGCTTATGTGCACACACGTGCTCCTGGGATTCCAAGCCTGCTCACACACATGCACAGACCTGAGCTCTGTAAGCAATGGCTGTTCTGGGCTGCCTCACCACCCACAGAGATCAGAGAGTGGGTGACAGCAGGGGGCTGGCCGTGGATTTGCTGTCCTAGCGAGACTCAGGGTTGAGGGCCACAGCGGGCTGGTCACAGACCCTGGAGGGGTGGGAGTTGGAAGTGGTTGAAGCAGTTCTAATCTTCCTAGGAGCCCCCCACCCTCTTTCCCCACCTGTTTTGTCTATTTCCTTCCTAGGAAGAGATGGAGAATCAGCCCGCACTCCGTGTCCTACAGGAGGAGGAGTAGAGGCAGGGTCAGGTGTGTCTCAGCACCCACACGGTGCTTAGCCGGTGTTGGCTAAAAGGATGAAGGGAGGGAGCTTTCAGGAAGTATTTCTGGGATTCACTGCATTAGTGACAACAGAAGCAGCTAGAGAGCAAAAGTGAACGGCTCACCGTCCTTCCCGTGTTGTGTGTGTGTGTGTGTGTGTGTGTG